TCGTGGTGACAGCGCTGGCAGCTTCCGCCCCGCGTTTGTGTGCCGGCGCTCTGCTGGCCGCCCTTGCCTCCGTGGGGCTTGTGCCAGCCAGCTCCGGGAGATGAGGCGAAACGTACCGCTTTGTAAACAAGCGTGCCCTGTTTTGGGGAGAGATGTGTAGTAATTCAGTGTAGCCATCGAAGCAGCGCCTTTCTGGGGCTAGGAATTTGTGTTTAATAAGGACATGGGATGATAGTACACTTCCTTCACTGCATAGTGTATTGTTACACAAACCAATGGAAAGTAGGTCAGTAAAGCAATATAGACTATATTGTTGTCTTTTGATTAAAAACTGGACATATGTTTTATCTTTATCACATCTCTTGGTTTTGCATGACAGCCAGGTTCTTTGAGCTTAATAACTTCATGACTTTCTAGATATGTGTCATTATTTTCAGAGAAACTTGAGGAGTGTTCATTTGACTTGCAGCAAGTTTAGGAATGTAGTAGGAGAGCTGTGCTTTCACAAGTTATTTTGTGTATAGTTTTAAATAACAGGAAGGTGGTCTTATAAAGATCACGTACTTAGATTAAGGTGAATCTTTTATATGAATTTGCTAAAACATCAGTAGTAAGAGTCCTGACAAAGATCCTTTCTTAAGGCATCCTGAAATGTATGTTTTTTCACTGAGTTCCCTGTTATATTAGAGACCGAAAGAGATAATCAGTGTGACCAGAGCAGTGAAATTGGTAAGGAATTGGAAAAGGAAATTGGTAAGGAATTGGAAAAGGAAATTGGTAAGGAATTGGAAAAGGAAATTGGTAAGGAATTGGAAAAGGAAATTGGTGAGGAATTGGAAAAGGAAATTGGTAAGGAATTGGAAAAGGAAATTGGTAAGGAATTGGAAAAGGAAATGGAAAAGGCTGGACTGTATAGTTTAAAAAAAGTTTGGGGCAGTTCTCTGATGTTTATATTTTTGTTTGCATCTGCAAGATGCAAAGGAAGTCATGGGCTTTGTAGAACTGAACATGTACTAAGCTTTTTCTTGTTGAGATTCTTTGCTAGGAATGTTTTTCTTCATCTGTTTCCTTCCTGTGAAGCAACACAGTATTCCATGGTGTAAACATGGATTGTGGTAACTTGCAGATTAAAGACGCAAGTTCTAGCCTGTTAAGAAATATCTGTATTCCCTCGGCAAAGCCATAGGATTTTTGTGGTTCTGTAATGGTCGAGGTTTATAAAGTGAGGGTGGTTGTGGAGCTCTCTTCTGTATAATTTAATTCGTCATTAACAATGGCACTAAGAACAAAGTACTGTTCAGGCAGTCAGCTGACATTCTGTGTAGGAGCTTTGAGCAATAATGCCAGATACAATTAACAGTGTGTAGGATGATTATGTAGCTGTTGGTCTCTCAAAACTGCTGCTTACCACATTTACAAGGAATTCAGTCTAATGACGTTGTGTTATGAAACTGCTAGGGAAAACAGAACCTTAGTTACTATTAAGAAAACTTTTTTATCTTTTATCTGAATTTAATGTAGGTTTTGCCGTGGTCGTTTGCTTGGCAAGTACTGTGTACATCCTTCTAATATACGCAACGAGAAGAACAATCTGTTTTGATTCAGTAGCCTTTGAGAAATGACTTTTCTTGGTGAAATGTCACTTTGTTGTGGCCAGTATGTGTGTCTTAACTTATTATTTGTGAGACTCTGCTGACTTCTGGAAGGTGTTGTGCAGATATTCAGAGAACAGATTTTTTTTTTAATTTACTTTGTTTGGTTTGCTCACTCAATCAGCCTAGCTATGTTACAAAATTGCACAGAGTATGTTTGGAAATGCTATATAGAGGTGGTAGTTTCAACATTTTGTCTTGGAATTTTTTTCTTGAGCACAAGCAGGAATGTAAATAAAACGTGGTGCTTAACAGTTGAATCTTAATCTGATTTCTCAAGTAAAGATTAAAGGGAGGAGCTGGATTTTCAGTTTGCTCCCATGTAAACTGTCTCAAGCTCTCCAATCTTTTGTTGGAAGAATGTAGAGGGGGAAAAAAAAAACAGTACTGTGTTTGTGGCCCAGAAAACAACTGGACTGTTACTTCTACCGTACTGAATGCATGCCAGTGAGAAAGCATGCACTATCTCAGCCTTAAAGGCCTTTCACATATTTGTGTGAATTAAGGTCTGTGTTTGACCTGCAAGTTGTGTTCTGAGGCTGCTGAGGAAAACCAGTTAGGAACTGTTCCTCACTCTGGTTTTCTTGTTCCTTGGAGAGGATAATGCATTTCTGCTCTTATCCGTTGATAACCAGATTAGGGTGTTTAGGTTTAGGAGGTTACTAACAGAATCGCAGCACGACACATCGCGTTGTGTGTTCTCTTCAGGGTTTGTCATTCAGTGGCTTCGATCAGTGCTTTCTCACCTTGCTGTCAGTCTGTGCCATGCTATTTTGTTATTTCATAGGTAAGGGGCTGGCTTGCCCCTCGTTGAACAAGGTAATTAGAATAAGGACAAAATTACCTGCCTAAAACTATGAGGGGCCATGAAGGGAAGGTTAGACATAGGTTTTCTTAAGATGTACTAAACATGCTGCAGTACCAGACATAAGGTATTTGAGGGCTATCTAAAAGCATATAATCAGCTTTGTAAGAGGACATGCTTAGTATATACTAGTGCAACAAATGTGTGCACCAAGTATGCCATTTTGAGTCATTTTACAAATCAGATAAATCTACTTTATTAGTGGATTTTTATTTAAATGGCATACAATATAATGATGTTTCATGACTAAGCACTTGTCAGATTTCATATTATAAAGCATATGTGACTGCTTTATGAATAGGAATTATCCTTATATCTTAGCACATATGCATATCAAATTACAGGTTTTGTCTTCTTTCACAATACTTCATTAATATATGCATGGTCCTAGAGCACAGGAACAATTATCTTCCATTCCCTGATGTTCTTCTGAGGGAAAGCTGTCTTCTTAAGTCTTTAATCTGATTAGCAGTTTCTGTAAAATGTAGGTGCTGTACAGCTTTAATATTTTACTTTTGACTGCAAAAAAGATTGGATATATTAAAGGTAGAGAGGCTATAGTGATGTGTTAGACATTAGCCTGATTTTTTTTAAAAAAAATAATTGTAGTACATAGACAGTTCTGATGTGTATTTCTGATTTTCCTTTCCTCTGGTAGGAGGGAAGAGGCTTTTTAAACGAATACAGTCCTGTGAGTGATGGTAGTAATGCAATTACTGCATTGGCCTAGGAGTTGGGCAGGATGTAACTGTGGTGCTTTGTACTATTCGGAGCCGTTTCCTGGAAAAAAATTTATAGATAGTAGCAGAAGTTTGTTCTGGGGAATAGAAATGCATCACTTGTTCCCTTTTCTGTTCTTGTTTGGGCCTGTTTGTTTTTGACATGCTGACTGCACCTGCACTGGCTTCTTTCCCTGTAATTGCTCCGCACCCCTCCTCTTCTGGTGTTAGCAGTCGGTGGGCACATTGGTTTGGGAAACTGCTTTACTCACTGTGCTTGAGAGAGGAAGGACAGATACTGTGAGTTGGAATTCGATCACTGTTCTGAACCAAACCAGTGCAAAGCTTCTTTTCATGGTAAGGTCATATGCTACTCCCAGTGATTAACATAGATTCTGAGTAGTGTTTTGTCTATAAAGTGCACATACCGTTGCTAATAGCAGTAAAAGAGCAGTGGGACAGTGAAACAACTGAGTGGGAGAGGGAGGGAATGTGTAAACAAGCCAAAGCCTATATGAAAAGACAGAGTTTCTACCCAGAGAATGGATGAATACAGCAAGGCTCAATACTGATCTGAATAAAAAAAATAATTCAAGGAAGTAGTATGCAACTTAGAGCATTTCTTACTTAAAAACAGAGCTCCAAACTTAAAACAGCCATAGTTATTGTCTCAAAACCAGCATAGATTCTGAGGTGATAACTGCACTTGATTTTTTTTTTTTATATTCTAGAATAATAACTACAAGTAACTTTTGTCTTCCTGTTTCAAAATGACATTTTTAAAGTGTCAAGGAACTTTTGATGTTCAGTTCTGGGGAACTTGTGGGTGGTGGTGGCGATGGTTGTTGTTTTCATTAAACGTGAGACACCAGTTCACTAAAAAGATGTTTAATCTGGCATCCAAAAGTGGTGGTTACTTTTAGAGTCCGTATCCACTTGTTTTTAAGAACAAGTTACATATGAAAAAAAAAAACCCTTTGGTGTTTCAGCTGATATCCTTATTTGTTTTGAAACATCTTTGATTATTGCAGACTATTGCTAATATTAAGGTGCTTTTTTCTTTTTTTTTAAAAAAAGGTGCGTTTCGAAACAAGCATTAGAATTGCCAGCAGCCCAAGGAGAAATGTAAAGTCTAGTAAGGATTTTCTTTGGCAGATGTTGCAAGACTCTTTCACATGACTAATTGGATATTTGCCTTGCAGGGTTAATTTTCATCTTTGTTATCTGTTAAGTAAGAGGAGTTTTTCCTTACTGTTATATGTTATTTTTGATAAAGATTTCCTGTAGTAAATACTGATGAGCAAGTAAGCTATAACTGGATCATTTCAGGTGTCTGAAATGTCTTCAGAGGTGAAGGTTGTGCTGTAGTATTCACCTGAATCAGAAATTCCACTCTGTATATTTATAAAAGTATCTTAGTTTTAAGGAGTTGTGGTTTTGTGCGTTCTTTACTTTCCCAGCTCCTTCATCAAAATAAGCTTTTGTAGCGACAGCAGGAAGGAGCAATGCTTAACTTGAAAGAGCCTTTTGAAAAGCAACTATGGCTGTAGATTGTTACAAGAAATAACTACAGTTTGAAACTCAAAAGGAGTTTCACAGCTGTATGGAGTACAGACAACATGATTTTTGTGGTTACTGGTTTAAAATTTCTCTGGTTACAGCTTTGCATGTATTTAATTGATGTGACAATTCTTCTCTTCAACTTGAGAAACACTTAAAAGCCCTCAAAATTATGGATAATTAGAGCCTGAGGAAAGGTGAGGAGAAGGAATGAAGATGTAGAACAAAGCTTTTAAGAGCCTGTAGAAGAAATTTACTTTCTTCAAATTAGATATTTTTGCTTTCATTAAATGTTGGGAGCTCCATGATGTTCTATGGCCAGCTAAGCAATTAATATAAGTAGATTTATATTTGACAAAGTATCTCTTTATCATTGCGGATTGTTTTATATGTTAAACTGATAAAAGTTCTTAGGTCAACCACCTTACACAATGTGAGGTTTGCTATTGAACTTAAAGGTTAAAAGCATTTCTATGTAGATTGTTTTTGTCTAAAATCTGTTAGTGGTGTTGGGTTGATTTTTGCAAACTATTTGGAAACACAAAGCAGTCAGTATGTATTACTTTGGGATTGGGTGGTGTTCTCACAAAAGAGGAAGAGAATGGCAGCTACTGAAGCTGCCTAGCTGTCTACCAGACACTTGAGATTTTCCAGAGCCGATGGGAGTTTTTTTAGCTTCTTATAAGAAGTCCAGTTTGAGGAGAGTCTGTCCTCTTAAAACTATGGGTTTTGTCACCCACAGTGAAGTTGCATCATGGAGAGTAAATTAAAGATAATTTGCAGTGATTTCTTAATCTTCACTTCTGAATATGTGAGGTAGAGAACAGGTTCATCAGTGAGCTCAGAGTGTTAACAACCACTTTCATTCTGTGCTGTGGTGTGCACGGTTTCATGTTCAGAGATTAGTATTATTTTCTAATTCTTGAACTACAGGGTTTTAAAGCAAATTTAGAAAAATAGATCTCTCTAGATCTTATCCGCTGTGTTTTCGTATTAAACTTTCTGCTTCTAGGATTTATGTTCTATTTGTGACTCTGCCTTGCTGTTTTAAATTTTCTACACACTATTTGAGTTTAA